GTGATCTGCCTGCTTCAGCCTCCCAAAGTACTGGGATTACAGGCATGAGCCACCATGCGCAGCCTATTTTAAGTTCTGGGTTGTTTTGTTTTGTTTTATTTTGAGATGGAGTCTTGCTCTTTTGCCCAGGCTGGAGTGCAGTGGTGCAATCTTAGCTCACTGCAACCTGGGTCTCCCGGATTCAAGCGATTCTCCTGCCTCAGCCTCCCTAGTAGATGGGATTACAGGCACACACCACCACACTTGGCTAATTTTTGTATTTTTAGTAGAGATGGCGTTTCACCATGATGGGCAGGCTGGTCTCAAATTCTTGACCTCAGGTGATCCGCCCACCTCAGCCTCCCAAAGTGCTGGGATTACGGGTATGAGCCACCGCACCCTGCCTAGTTTCAGTTTTTATAAAATGAGTTTGTAAACTCAAATTTCAATCACAGGGTTCCCTAGAATTCCAAAGGGGGCACTATTGACCACCCACTCTGCTGTTCTCCCAAGCACTTCTCTGTGACCTCCCAATCCTAACCATCCTCACCAGGCTCTCAGCCTTCACTCTGTGGGCAGACACTCCCTGCCTTCAGTAAAGCGTACTCACCCTAGTGTGAGAAATCAGTGGGGGAAGGGAAATTCCCTTCCTAAAGAGGAAATAAAAAATGAAGATTGGGCCTCATTTGTCTCAAGAATTGACCACAAGGGTTAGATAGAAATCTAATCTTGTCTCAGAACCAGGGTCTGGCTTAAAGAGCAAAAGTTGGTAGAAAACCACAGTAGTGTTGGTGACTCCAGTGATATGCAAGAGCACCACTCATGGTGAACCGGTGCAGACCACCAAGCTAAGAGAGCAACCACTGACCTTGACGGGGCCCTCGATGCTGCCCAGGAATCTGCTAGGTGACCTCTGCATACCCCACCTGCTCCCCAAACCTCCAGCCCCGCCCTGCATCACTCTCAACCCCTGGCCTTGATTCCAGGTTCTCTGAAACAATGAAAGCCAGCAGAGGTGAAGCTCCCAGGTCCCCTGCCCCCAGCCCCACCGCATTCCCCTGCCTCCTGCAAGTGTGCTCAGTCAGCCTTTCCTGCAGCTGGCAGACATTCTCCTCTCTCTCCCACACCAACCTTCTTTCCCTCTCTGCTGCATCATTCCTGTCAGTAAACACACCCGCTACAATTCCTCCCAACTTACCAAAACACAAGCAAAACAAAACCCAGGGGCCAGGTGGGTTTTGTGGTGGCTGATGCCTCTAATCCCAGTGCTTTGGGAGGCTGAGGGAGGATCACTTGAGGCTAGGAGTTTGAGACCAGCCTGGGCAACATAGCAAGACCCATATCCACAATTTTTTTTTTTTTTTTTTTTTTTTTTTTTTTTTTTTTT